GCCGAGGGCCGACTTGGCTGTGGCAGGAATCTATGAACATGCTTGGTGGGGGGATACCTTTGGATCCAGGAGCCAGGTTCCCTGGGAGACGTTAGGGTGGTATTCAGGCCTTGTGGATCTCAGGGAATGAACTGGTTTCTAAAATTGTGGAGCTCACTGGCCAGAGACACCCTCAACTTTAGGGTAACTGATGCTGTTTCCCACAGAGGACCGACAGGTAACTGGCCTAAGCAGACCTTGTAACAGACCCTGTGGCTGAGCTTTATGGAGAAGAGAAACAGCTTGTTTCTCGTGCACACAGAGTTCCTCAGGAGGAAGAGATGCCGGATGTCACAGAGTGCAGTATCATAAGCAAGGGGGGCGGCCTCACTGGATACTGGAGGCAGAGGGCTGGCTCCTGGAGGAGACAGGCAGTGTGCTCTCTGACCTACTAAAAAAAGGAAAAACTGCAGCTCAGTCTCCTGTTTGCCAGAGTACCGGAGGGGTGGGGGAGGCTTTTGTCATTTATTCCTGGCATTAAACTTCTGTTGGGTCATGGCGGGAGTGGGTCACACTGGTTCGGTGACAGGTACACAGATGATGGACATGTGTGTCCTTGACCCCACTCCACTATGTTATCCAACAATAGGCTTCACAGCCGGAAAATCAGGACCAAGTAAAGCAAGGCTGTAGATGAAGTATTTATATTCCCCACAATGCTAGGCTGGTGGTATTATTATACCCATTCCACAGATGCAAAGCTCGGAAAAGTTGAGTGTCTTTCCTAGGAGTGAGCAGGGAGTAGAAACAGAGCCAGGAGATTCGTGCTCAGGCTGGCTCAACACCACAGCCCATGCCATCAACCATGGCACTAGACTGCCAACCAAGAATAAGAAAAGTCCTTGAGACGAAGGTTTGCAAATAGAGGCATTCAGGCCCATAGGACACAGGTTAAAAGGAGTTTGTATCTGCCCAGTGTCAGTTCCTTGAGATGCAGAAGTCTTATCTGAGACCCCAGTTGGGGAAGTCTTTCTCCACTGGCAGGCTTGGGTCTGGGAATTGAGGCCCCAGAGGATGATATGTGAGCTGGGACTATGAAATCCATACTGACAGCAGCCAGGCTCCCAGCGGCGGGAAGAATGAAGAAATAGCTAATACGTTCCCAAGGCTTTTTGTTCCTGGACATTTGTTCCAAGCAGTCACAGCTAGTTTAAGATGGGGGTGGGGTGTCCTGGACACTGAAGGCAGAAGATGGTGTCTGCTTCACTAGCCCTCTTCGGGACCAGCAGGGCTCCCACTGAGGGCTGGTGACATTCACGTGTACATGCAATGCAGTGATATTAGTGCATCTTACAGATGAGCAGTATGAGACCCGACAAAGTTAAGCATTTCAGAGGCCTGGGTCTCTCATCGCTCACTCCAGGTCAGGGTGATCTTATGAGACCTGTGATCTTCACACTGGTTCATGGAGCTGCTGGGTTCCAGGTCAGAAAAAGAGGCTATGGAAACTAGCAAGCGGGCGCTCCAGCTTGTCCAGCCAGGTGCCTGGCACAGTTGACACTAGAGATACTAGCTAAGTGGCCCTATGACTGAATAAATGGGTAAACACATGCTTCAGACTTTCCTTTTACTTATGTTGGTGCTCCAGGTAGGACTTCATTGGAGGGTGGGAATAGTTCTACTATGTAGAAGCCAAGTCTGAAGACTGTAGTACAAAGTAGACCATGCTGATCTCACAAGTTATTAGAGGACTTGCAGGCAGAGGAGAGGTGGAGTGGGCAGACGACCTAGGGATGCTGGAACCATGGCTGAGACTTGGTCATTAGAAACACTAAACCAAGCTGGACCGTGGTGGCGTACGCCTTTAATCCCAGCACTCGGGAGGCAGAGGCAGGCGGATCTCTGTGAGTTTGAGGCCAGCCTGGTATACAGAATGAGTTCCAGAACAGTCAGAGTTACAAAGAGAAACCCTATCTAGAAAAAAAAAAAAAGACTAATTGTATCACTCTAGTCCTAAAGCTCCGGTCCTTGGAACCCTGCATAACAGACAGGGCTTTGTGCGTGCGTAAGTATTTTTATCTGAGCAGTGCGTAAGTATTTTTATCTGAGCAGAAGACACAGAGTTCTCATCAGATTCCCGAGGAAACACATGACCTGTCAAAGTTTATGCAGCATGGCTTCAAGACACTAAACCATTTGCAGACACAGAGTCTGAACTTTTCAGTCTTGACTCTTTGTTAGCGCTGAGGACAAATTCTTCATCCTGCTGACTCTACCTCCCAAGAACTGGGATTGCCCTACGACTGTCACACCTGGCTCTCGGCTCTTCATTTTATAGCCAAGGACATGGAATGATGAAATGACCTGTGACGTGCACAGGCCACAGAGCTGAAAAGCTAGGATCTGGGATCAGGAATTTGGGATTTAACATATTCTACATTACAGTGGGGTTTTTGTTGTTTTTTTTAAGAGGGTCTCACTGTGTAGCCCTGATGGCCTGGTAAACCAGACTGGTTTTGATCTCACGAAGGTTTGCTTGCCTCTGCCTCCTGGTTGCAGGGATTAAGGGTATGTATCACCAGGCTTAGCCACTTAAAATTTTTATTATCTTTTGAGGGGGGGGCAGGAGGCATACATACCACAGGGCCTGTATGCGAAGGTTAAGAGGACAACCTGTAGGGGGTCAATTCTCCCCTTTTACTCTGTTGGTTCCAAGGATCAATAATCAGGTTGTCAGGTTTAGGGGCAAGCATCTTACCTGCCGAGCAGCTCATTAGACCTCTCTCTCCTTTCTTTCTTTCAGATAGTTTCATAGTGTAACCTAGGCCAACTTGGAACTTACTATGTAGCCATGGACTTGAACACTTGGCAATTCTGCTTCAGTGTCCTGAGCTGTCAGGCATGTTAGCCACTATTCCTGGCTTCCATCACAGGTTAACCTATGGTGTCTGGGCTTCAGGATCCATGAACGGCTAGACTGCACACTGAGCAGGGATGGATACACTCTCCTCTGGGCTGGAAGAGTGCCTTCATCAGATTTTCAAAGTGGACTTTGACTTCTCTAAGACTGAGGACCACTGCTGCAGCCCTCTAGGTCTGTCCTCACCCTCCCTGCAGGACCCAGAGAACTCCTGGGCAGTGCTGTTTTGTCAAAGTGGGGGTGTGCCGTGAGGGCTGGTGCTGTATCCCTTCCCAGCGCGCTGACACCAGCACTTTTCCCATCCCCTCCCCGCAATGGGCTCAGAACGAGGCAGTACATATGGTGACAGAACTGGGTGTGCTGAACAGGAAGGTTACAGAAATTTCTTGACATCAGCCAAGATGTCAAAGCTAAGGCTTTGGACATACTTGAAACAGTTTCCACCAAGATGGGCTCTGTCCCCTGGGAGACAGAGAGAGCAGGCAAGCCAGCAAGTACTCAGTTAAATGTCGTCTTAATTTGGAAAGCACAGAGGGACATTTCTTTTTTTTTAAATCAATAGTCAGCCGTTCTCTGGCACCAAGAGTGCCAGGCAGTGTTCACTCAGCCTGGGGCAGCTCAGAGATTGACAAGCAGTCTTCCCGGCTGTCACCAACTTCAGCCTTGCAGCTCACTGACCCTACCTCTCCTCCGGTTGAAACAAGAATGTGATGGCACCACTACCCTTGGGACTCTGAAGGCAACCAAATTCCCAAAAAAGACAGAGTGGGGGAGGCAGGAGACAGCATATTACCAACTTGGCAAATCATATTTACCTGCCAAGTAGGTCAGTGTTTTCTAGCTCCTCCTAAGAATGGTGCATACTACGAGGGCAACATCAGCATCACTCAATAAACTTGTCTGAGTCAACGTCTCTCTCTGTAGGCCTTGAACTCAAGGCAATCCTCCTGCCTCAGCCTCTCCGAGTGCTAAGATTACAGACAGAAGCCACCACACTTGGCTCTATTTTGTATTTCTTTTTTTTAGAGGATTATGAATTCTTATTTATTTATTATGTATACAATATTCTGTCTGTATGTCTGCAGGCCAGAAGAGGGCACCAGATCTCATTACAGATGGTTGTGAGCCACCATGTAGTTGCTGGGAATTGAACTCAGGACCTTTGGAAAAGCAGGTAATGCTCTTAACCGCTGAGCCATCTCTTCAGACCCTATATTTTGTATTTCTTGAACAATTTCTAAGTGTCGGAAGTAGCAAAATGATCACATCCATTCCCAAAACTATGTGTAGACTTGTTGCTGGGCAGAGATGTGTTCGCTGAGCACCTACTGAGTGCCCTGCACTGTATCAGTAACAACGATCTCAAGGTCTGAACGGTTGTTCCCACCACAGCATCTTCAGTACAGCTTTGCTGAAAGGTCTCATGGTTGAAGAACTGGTTTCGTGGACAGGCATGGAGCCCTGCATCCCCCCAGCCAAACTGGCTCTGCTGTGGGGCCACCTCCCTGTCCTCCTCTCCCATTTTCTCTCGGGGCACTGATGAGTCACTAATAGAATTTGAAAGGCAGAAGTGCAGCAGTATGGAGTCTGTCCATGAAGCCTGTCCCCTGGGGCTGTACTGAGACTGGCAGTGACTGCATTGAGACCACAGTGCCTGCAAAGTCACAGGCTTGGGGCCCCTGATAACATCTCTTAAGAGAACATCTCCTTCCCTCTCCCCCAGCAGAGGCTCTTCTTTCCAAGGCTGGAAAGTTTAGAAATACCCCACCCCAAACTTGGGCACCCAGTCTGTGTTTAACCCAGCAGGGACTGAGTAGGAGGGAGAAGCTTAGATACCATCACGGCAGGACACCAGGATTATTGTCTGACCTACACGGTTGGGGAAGCAAGCAGGGCTCAGGGGACCCAAATGACTTAGAAGCTGCTTAGTGAGTGAGACTCTTGAGAATGCTGTGGTGACATTTTTCAGGGCACCCAGGAAGGCTCCGTTGCTTCTGTCTTAGTGCAGAACTTCCTGGAACTCACATTTCTGGATGTGTTATGAATTTATAAAAAGGGGCTATCAAGGGCAGTGCTTCCCAAACTTAGTCGACCACAGGAACCTTTCTTATTTTTTATTTTTGCCACAGTGGTTAGTGTACTGCAGGGCTTCAAACTCTGAACATGGAGCCTTCACCTTGCTTGGGACACTGTTCTAAGTGTCAGGACATGACCAGGTGCCTATGTCTGTGGGAGGCATCATACAAGGTGTCCAACAGGGGTCAGGGTGGTATACATGGCAAATCTGGGAAGGAAGCAGGGAGCAGGGGAGGCACTGGGGCTTCAGGAAGGTGCTAGAACAGCATAGCTAAGACCACACAGGAGTTAGGAGAGGGAGGGGTGGGCAGCTGAAGAAAGTGTGCACAGCTATCCCCCCCAACCCTCCCACCTTTGAACTGATCATGCTGTCTGGACAAGGAAACAGTCTCGGGGTGGGGGGACGTGCTGGTCCTCAGTTCCTCCCACCCCCTGCCCACAGCCACGTTTCTGCTATTGAACTTGGGCTAATTTCCAGAAGCCAGGGAACAGCTATTCACAAATTCAGTAATTGGAGTCATTAGCGTTGACTCAGAAGTCATTTTTTTTTCTAAGTCTCTCTCTTGGAGAGCTTTTAAGTCCTTTTAAATTGGTTAATGGAGAGTTTAGAGATGAGGATGGAGCCTCAGCTTTCAGCTCCCCCTGCCCATCTCCCTGGCTCTCCCCCACACACTCAAGGGCAAGAGAGAGGAGATAACCCACCATCTGTTTTATTAAACACTTGCATAATCCTACCCGACCTTTTCCAAAAAGGACTCATGCTCTCAATACTCTGACTCCAAGACTCCAGGTGTCTAATCTCTCCTGATACCCCCACACCTGCCGGGTGATGATAATGTTTGCAAATAACACTACAGTGTGAACTGGTAGACCAGAAGTCTGGGCTGGAGTCATGATGTCAGCTTTGATCCTCATCCGGATCTCTTGTTTTTGTTTTGAGACAGGGTTTCCCTATGTAGCCTTAGCTGTCCTGCAACTCGCTTTGTAGAACAGGCTGGCCTTGAACTCATAGAGATCCCCCTGCCGCAGTCTCCTAAGTGCTGGGATTAAAGGTACTTGCACCATGCCTGGTGGCCTGGTGACTCTAGGTCATAGAACTGTGGGCATCACTCTGCCTTCAGAACCCTAAGCAAGAACTAAGGTCCTTTATGCAGAGAAATGGCTGCACCTCAGTCTGTTAAGGCAGGAGGGCACATGCTATTGTGCTTGGGCTAGAATTGAGAAAATAATGTTGGAAAATCGGGTCACTGTTTCCAGGTGGCACAGCTGGGTCAGTGGTGGAGCCAGAACCTAGGACTTCATAGGCATTCCTCTTCTTTATGGTGCTGGGGAGGTGCTGGACGCTCCCGGGGAGGTGAGGAGCTAACTGGCCTCTTCTTTGGGATTCAAGTTGTGATATCTCTGAGAGCTCTCAGGCAGGGAGGTCTGAAGAAAATCGAAACAGAAACATGTAAGCATCCAGGCAACCTCTCCCTTCCACACCGAAGATGAAAACGATCACGAGTCCGTCAGGGATGAACAAGGCGAGAATGCTGGTGACACCCAAGTTCAGCCACTCATGAGAACACCCCCAAACTTCCATCACCTTTGAATCTGCGCTCCATTGGACAGGATGCTTTAAGTCACTACCCTTCAGCTTTGTACATAAGTGTAAAAGAATTATAGGCCAATCTTTCCACTATATTTGGCATTATCTATTAAACATACTACTGAAGTAAAGCATCTGAATTTACATGCCATGTAAAATCTTGTCAACTATCAGGGGCATGTACACATCAAGGATTGTTGGAAACTATGATATAGTCTAAGAGTAGGGAAACTGAGGCACAGGGACAGAGAAGGTTAGTTATTTGCTCAAAAACAAAGGCAAAAGTGGTAAATGGAGTCTCTGGGGTCACTGAATGAATATTTTTGGTGCTATTTAGGAGGCTACCAAGTGGAAAAAAGGACAAAGTCACCGATTAGCCTTGCACTTCAAATACATGGGCACCCGAGCACGAACTGGAATTGCTACTCTAGGAAGGGTACTAACCAATTTCTGCTGCCACCCAACCTCCAGTCCACCCTTTTCCTAGCCAGGGCTGTATTTTATCTCACCTTAGCCGAAACCCAGTCTCACGAGACTTCTTTCTAAGGATGGTATGGCCCTGCTGGGGGCTCCGCGGCTGGCTCCAAGATGGCCACTTCTGCAGAGGAGGCCAAGGTTCCCAGTGCTTGAGGCATGAGGGAGGCCTGAGGCACCTGCCAACAGGGTGTTCAGGCTACAGAGGGAGGGACTCGAGAAAGACTTCAGTCCTGTCATGGACGGGTTGCTGGGCCCTGGGGCTACAAAGAGAAGACAGCAATGCTTATTCCAGCAGTTCTAGCAGGATCTTTGTTTAAGACGGGGTCTCCCTACACAGTCCTAGAACTCTCTATGTAGACTATACTGGTTTCAATCTCAGAGATACACCTGCCTCTGCCTCTGCCTCAAGTGTTGGTATTAAAGCCATGTGCCACTATGCCTGGCAGGGCAGGGACTTCTTAAAGGATCTGGCTCCTCTGGCATTGCTAATGGGGCTCAGCCCCAGTGACTCAGTGGTGCTCTCATAGCCCTAGAAAGGTATTTCAGTCAGCCTCAAGACATTGGCTCTCCCCAAAAAATCATGGCAGGAACCATCATTTACTGGTTTATTGAACACTTACTGTGTGCTAGACTATGTTATGCTTTATTTTTAAAGGCAGTGTCTTGCTATGGTACCCAAGCCAGCCTGAGAATGTATGTGTCAGCATCCCAGATGTTGTGATTCCCAGCATGCGCCACCAGGACCGGCTGTGCTAGCCTATTATTTTACTAAAATGTAGTGCTTACAAGCTAAGGGCTTAATTCTACTGTGTTTCTGATTGTCAGAGAAGAAATCAAGGTCATAGAGTCTCAGTTCAATGACAGCGGAGTTCAAAACACAAGTTTACCTTTCTCTGAAAGTCAGGTTGCTAGCTAACACTGGGGCCACCACCCTTTGTTGTCGCCGGGCACTCAGCTTAGAAGGAACCAGGCCTTGGCTTGCATTACCTGCTGCCTTTACGTTGAAGAGGGTCCGAAGCCTCTCCTGGGCGGGTTCATTCCCCACGGCTGCTGACTGCTGGTAACACTTCACAGCCTCGACCAGATTCCTCTGAACACCAAGGCCCCTCTCGTAACAGACTCCCAAGTGGAACCTGCTCTGGGAGTCCTAAATGAGAAGACAGACAAACTGAAGAACAGGAATGCATAGCCAGGAGTGAGATGGAGTCAGGCAGGGATGCTGAGCCTTCATCCATCAGCCTGCCACATTCCAAGCTCCTCAACCATGAAATACTAGAGGCCCAGTGCTTGCCTAAGGAGTTGGGTCCCCTGCCTAGGGAGATTCCACCCCACCAGTGTGAAGACTTCTCTTGCTGAGACTGGCTAAGAAAAGACTACAGAAGGACTCGGCCTTAGATGGGAAGGACGCCAGGAGGCAAGCTTCGGCCTTCTGACAGGCCAGTGTACAGAGATTTCCCAAAGCCAGGCCCGCCTTCCTGACTCCCAGAGAAACCACAGCACAAGCCATGTCTTCCTCATGGTCTGCCCCTTGCACCGCCCTGGGCTCTGCCTCCTCACTGACATGACACTCCTCTGTGAGACAAGTAGGCATAGGACCCTGGCCTGCATGGCTAGCCTTCCTGGCTTCCAACCCAGGTACCCCAGTTTCCTCGGCTATGGGACAGGGCTAACAGAAGCACTACGTACTTAGGCTTCACTATACGGAAAGTGCTCAGGTCAGTGCAACTAGCATGACACGCCCCTCCAGCTTCTCACACCACTGAGTTCTCCTCCCTTACTAGAGAGCTCTTAGCATATTTAAGCTCTCAATTAAAAAAATTCTACAGATTCTCAACCATGGTCCCATTGCTCCTTTATGTGCCACAAGTTTCTGCTACATACTCTGTTCCCACTTATGTGACATAAAGGCCAAAGTCGGTAAGAAATACAGTAGATTTAGAGTTGCAGGCTAGGGCAGAACAAAGCAACAGTCATATGTAAGACCTAAACCCCAATGTAATGGTCTGTCCTGTCCCTTTAAGAGACAAGCAGATCTTCCTTCTGCTTCTAGCCTGGGTTCCTCTGTCCTGGCTTTGTTCAGAAGAGGTAGCTGAGGCCTCTTCTCCTTCAGTAAATTCTACCAGCATGTGCCACCTCTCACTTTCTCTCTCCCCTTCCCTTCCATAACCCACTAAATAAACTAATAAACTATATTCACTTTCTCTGTATGGCGTCTATTATGGTGTCTATCCACCTCATCTGCACCGCCAACCCGCCGAGGTCTCTCACCCGCCACCTCCCACCCGCCTGGGACCCAGAGGCCTTGGGTGGTGGAACCCGGCTTCCCCTCGTGGCCCCTGCCAACGCTCAGGGAACTAAACGGCTTTTATCTAAACCATGACACCTACCCTGCAACACCACACAGAATAAGCCCCGAGTGACCAACCCAGTTTCTGAGAGGTTGAAGAGTGGAAGGGCTGTGTCCCAACACAGTGCTCCACAGTGGGGGACATATATCCCTTTGCGCACCCCTTCTTTTAGCATGCTGGTCTAACCCTAGCAGGCCAGAAGGCCCAGGGTGTACCCGGCATATGGACAGCAGGCCCGCTCCTCCGAGGAAGAAGAGCTACAGTGCAATTGCTGGCTGCTGCTAGCTGTCCTCCTTTGTCAGACTCCAGGTACTGTGTGGAGCACAGAGTGGCCGGGGTTAAATATTCTGATGCGATAGTGTTGTCAGTCTGCTGGTCAGAGAACAAAGAGAAGCAGGAGTGCCCTAGGCAGGGAAATGACACTGTGCACACCGCCTGCTCCAATCCAGGACTTCTGACCCCTACAGCTACAACAGGGATCCAGCAAGCCACAGATCACCTTGGCATTTCAGTGATAGAGAGCTCTTTACTCTGTAGACTGTCTAAACGCAAAACAACTATTTTCACTTAGTGCTCCTGAGATCCAAGGGCCCATTCCCTTGGCATTCCTCATCAACATCCCACGGAACCAATTCCCCGTGAAACAAACTGGGCTATGCCGCTTGAATGCCAACACCCAGGTCGGACAATCAAGTAGCCCTCTCTCATGTGTGTGACTTCCCAAGGCCACCGCAAGGACGCGTCATGGGTACAGCTCACAGAGAGCCTGCACGCCTGTCACCTTGGTCCGATACTCCTAACAACCCTGTGAAGGGGCAGGCAGAGCGGGCATTATTAGGTTGGTTGAAAAGTCTGAATCAAGAAGTGATAGCTCAATACGTGGTGAGTAGCGACAGGCTGGGTAGCTGGAGGGGAGGAGCTCGGCTGTGCCACAGTTCACAATGTCTGAGAGCAAGTATTTCCACCTCCGCCGAGCAGTGTCCCCACCTTCAAACTCAGCACCCCAGTGGCCCTGTCCAAGGTCACACAGTGGGTCAGTGGGAGCCAGGGTGTGGCTAGCCGTAGGCTCCTGGAAAACGTATAATAAGCCCAGAGCTCAGAACCAGTTCCCAAACTCCTTTTCTTATCAGACTTGATCCCCAACATGTACGGACCAGAGATAGCACACGTACCCCATTGCTGGCTGCGAGCCAAAGGTATTTCACGGCTCTCTGTTCATCCAGGTGTGGCTCCTTCGTAAAGAGCACCCCAAGGAAAGCTTGGGCCTAGCAGGGAGGGAAGAAAAGGACACGTTAGTCACTTTCAGGCTCTGCACACCTCACTCAGAACAGACCCCATCGATAGCACTCACCTCTTGCAAGCCAGAGTCTGCAGCTTGCTTCAGCATCGACACTGCCTTCTGCCGCTCAGGGTCTGACAAAGAGGCTGAACTTTGCAACAGGCACCGGGCATAGCGGTACTGAGCCAGGCTGTGGCCCTGGATGGCGGCCAGGTGGTAAAAGAGGATAGCCTGGGGCAACAGGAGAAATTATCAGTCTGTAGGTAATTGGCCTCTTTCTTTGAATGAAATATTAAAAGCCATTCAAATAAATACACAATCATTATAGGTTAGAACGGTAAATGCTGTTAAGTCAAAATTAAAAACAGAAACCCAGAGCACAAACATAAAAGCCCAAGATATCCTGCCTCATAAGAGCATCAGGAGTTTTTGTTGGTGTGTTTGACCGATTGTCTTTTTGAGAGAGAGTCTGAGATAGAGTTCCTGCAGCCTGTTACTACCCATACAGCCCACATTGGCCTCAAAAGTGGAGAAATCCTCCTGCCTCAGTGATGGAATTACAGTGTGTGTTACCCTGTTCAATTAAGATCATTCTTTATTAAAGTTTTAGTGTATAGGCTTCCAAGTTTTCCCCATGGATATGTTATACACGCTGCACATACTGTGTATACACTTACACATGTAAGCTTGTGTACATGTATATACTATATATATGTTGTTGTGTGCTTAGGTGTTTTGCATACATGTATGTCTGTGCACTACACATGTATAGTGCCTGTGGAGGCCAAAGAGAATGTCAGTCCCCAGAACTAGAATCACAGGTGGTTGTGAGCCACCATGTGGGTATTGGGAATTGAACCTGGGTCTTCTGAAAGAGCAGCTAGTCCACTTAACCACTGAGCCATCTTTCCAGAACTATACATTTTATATATATATATATATATATATATATATATATATATATATATATGAATATATATATGAATATACACCTATATGGAGAAAGAGACATAGCAGTATACCATGAATGTCTTTCCCTGTTGACTTAGATCTGATATATCATTGTTAAGGTCCTGTAGACATAAGAACATCAAGTTGATTATCCCCTTTCCTTTTACATACAGCTCAACAAAATATTCTACATACGACACCCTTTCATACCTACCCTTCTATCTTAAAATTAACCTACTTATCTAGGTACAATCTAGGCTCTGAGAGTACAGTTGCAAAGAAAGGCAAAATGCCTGCCCTCCCTGAGTCTGGAGTACACGTCTATAATTTAGGAGGGCTTACTTTGAACTATCAGCCCCTGCTGTTTACTACTCAGTTTTTGAGCTCACTGGGTCTGGGAATGGGACGGTACCTTGCCGAGGTCCCTAGCTGTGCCTCTGCCATGCTCCAGACACAAGCCCACGTTGTACTGTGCTTTGCTGTAGCCACGGTCTGCGGCTCTCTGGAAGGAAGAGAAGGCTTCTGTGTGGTGCCCTGCCTTCATGTTCTCTGTCCCTGTAGGAAATGGAGCACAAACACATTTCCTACTGTGACCTTCCACATCCTCCACCAGACACTCAGGTTGCTCATTCCTTCCCAGAATCCCTCTTTTCTTCTTGTGCGGGACACAGCTGTGCAGCACTCACTTCTCCAGCTGGCTCACCGGTGCCAGAGACATGGGGGTGGGGCTGGAGGCTGGTGCCAGGGATGGGGTGGCTGTGCTTGCTTATCTGGCCTTCGGGAACAACCCCTCCCCTGGGCTGTCAATCATATGCCTGTGCTCTTCCCCACCAATGCGACTCTGTCAGGAGTGTGAATTTTAATCAGGCAGAGAAGATTCTCATGAGAGAAAAGAACTCTTAAGTATTCTGACAGCAGCAACCTTGAGAGACTATCAGTGCTGGCCCCTGGGTTCTCTGGAGCTGCCTTGATTCCCATTCCCCCTGACGCTCGACAGGCCAAGAGATCCCCAAGATTCTGGGCTTATGTCAGCAAGGAGAAGGTTTTCATTGCACACCTGCACCGCACAGGTGATCTTGCTCAGCTACTCTTGTATGGCAAGGAAGAGCCTCAGCAGAAGACAGCCAATGCCTGGCTGACATCCTTCTCCAAAGTCAGGGCCCTTTGCTTTGCCCAGGCATTAAGGAAATAGAAAATGTACAGGCAGGACTCAACTTTGTCAATTTTCATCTTTGCTCAAACTGGCTTCTGACTGAGACCCTGGGTTCTGCCTCTATCACCAAGCCTCCCATTGTTTCTACTCTAGAACCTTCAGACCACACTTGGGGCTTAAACTCTTTTTAGCGCTTTCCTAATATATCAAACCTTTGTCTATGGACACAGCTGGTACAAAAGAATAAGCCCCGTCTCCTCAATTATACTGTAAAATCCTCGAGGCAGGCAGAACAAGAACGGAGAAGTAATTTTGCATGGGATGAAAATTCTACATAAATGCAAAATATGATTATAGCTTGTGCTGCCTTTGTGCACTGCCACAGGGCTCAGCACTTGCTGAATAAATGAATATATGAATGGAGGAATGGGCAGGAGGGTTCTGAGAAGAGCCTTGCCCTCAGAATCACAAAAAAAGCCAACCAGGAAAAAGCTGCACCCTATTCAGCAAGCAGAGTTACACTCGCTTCCCTGCCTCCTGAAAATCTACTGTCCCGAGTGCACGGAGTCCTCTGTCCTTGGGAAGGAGACACGAGGGGCAGAAGACACCACCAGCTCATCAGGATTCCTCTGCTCCTCTGGCTCTGCTGCCTTAGCCATGGCCAAGCCCTCATCACGTCCTGCCTAGTTCTCAGCAAGTCTTCCTGCCTGGTCTCACGTCTCCCTTCCGGCCCCCCTCAATCCATGCTGGTCTGTAAATAGCCACACAGACCTTTGGAAGAGTAAGTCAGATCACATGACCATCCTTCTTCCTGCTCCAGTGCCTTCCTGTGTCACGTAGGCAATCCCTACTCTTCCTGGGATCGGAAGACCTTACCTGAGCTGGCTCCTGGCTGCTTCTCTGACTTCATCCTTCTCTCCTTCCTATGATGGCTAAGTTCCAGCCACAGTCACCTCTCTTTTGTCCCTTAACAAATAAACCTCAATGTTGTCACAGCACCTTACTCTCGTTTCTCTCTCTGCTGGAGATCTCTTTCTCCAAATGGGAACAAACCTGGCCTCTGTCAGCCAGGCTTAGCTCAAGGGTCTCCCTTCCAGCAGACTTCTCCATGAAAAGCTGTTCCTTGCCCAAGTTAGAGAAACAACCCCTTGTTCAATTTCTTCATAACATTTATCATCTGACATTCTTTTTTGTTTTTTCGAGTCAGGGTTTCTCTGTGTAGCCCTGGCTGTCCTGGAACTTGCTCTATAGATCAGGCTGGCTCCGAACTCAGAGATCTGCCTGTCTCCACCTCCCAAATGCTGGGATTAAAGGCATGGGCCACTGTACCTGTCCAGTTTACTGTCTACTATCCTTCAATCCACATGTGAACACCATGAGAGTAAAGAACCACCACATCTCCCGGCAGGGGCTAGCAATAATCAGTAAATATGCTCTGAATGAGACCCAGCCTCTTCCTCCCTGTCTCCAACTACTAGGTCCCAACAGGTGCTGTTGGGAATACAAGGCTCCCCTTTAGATGGTTTGAGACAAGAGTCAAGTCACCATAGAACCAGGACAAATAGCCAAGTCATGTGGAGTCCCCAGATTTGATAAGGGTTCTTCCCCATTATGCACTGGGGCCTGCTGCAAACTGCAGGAGCCTGCTCTTTTCTAAGCATGATAGAGAATGCTGGGTGTCCTGTAAAATTTCCTACTGTCTACACAGGACAGACTACTCAAGGAAGCACATGGCCATTCGGCTGAAGACTACATCTCTCAGCCTCCTCTATAACAGACGGCCAGAAGCCGACTTTGTGGCCTACGTACCTCTATAAAGAGCAAGGTTAGGCCCATAAGGAAAGTAGGGGTCCTCTAGCTTACTGTCTCTCCACCCAGCGGCCAAGAATATAAACAGGAAAGCAGGAGCTGGAATGACTAATACCGAACTCAAGATGAGAGCTGAACACGTAAGAACTAGGATGGGTCCTTGACCCCACTGAACCAGCATGCCACATCTGGTCTACCTACCCAGAGAAGATAAACCTCTTTTGTTTAAACCACTCTCTACTCTGCTGTATTCTACCCAACCCATGCCCTTTCCATTTCCTCATCCTCCCGCCTTGAGGAGGGGAATCAGGTACCCAGGAAGTTGAAAGCAATGGCAACACTGAGCTGAAAGAGTTGCTGGATGGAAGTCACAGCCTCCTCTAGGGGAAGAGCCTTGGACTTGTCTTGTTCCTGGGGAAGAAACAGAAGGCAGCATCAAGGTATGGGTCACTTGGCTCTCCACCAGCCCCAAGAGAGGAGTGGGCATCCAGGGTACCAAACTTGAAACATACATTTGTTTCTCCAGGGGGGCAGGCCTCGGTTGCCTCTGCTTGGGATGTGAAGTCCCTGCTGGCATGCAAGAAGTCAAAGTCACTGGGCTCTGCAAGGGAAAGGCGGATACCCAGGTGTCAGGGGGAGGAGAAAGGTATGACTTCTCCCTTCTTTCTCTTCCAGTCTGCCCTATATTCAGTAACTCTCGATCACCCCAGAAAGCAAGAGGCTTCACGGGGATGACAGCTCTTTATCTGGGTGCACGGTGCAACAAAGGTCCATCCACGAGCCCCTCCCCTCCTGGGGGTGTTAGGTCCGTCCAGCAGTCCCTCCCTCCTGCGGGTGTTAGGTCCATCCACCCCCCTCCCCACTCTACAGGTATTAGGTGAGGTCGCACCTTCTTCAGGTAGATTCAGAAGGCCAGTCTCAGGGCAGCACTGGGACTGAGGGGAGGGTTCTTTCTGGCCCAGCCTTGGTTCCCTGAGGCCAGCGTATGTGGGAGCTGGGTGGTCAGGCCTGGGAAGAACATGCCTCCGAAGTGCTGGAGAGAAGCCAGCAAGAAGGTCAGGTAAAAAAGGGGTCCAATCTTTGGGAGCTTGGAACACTTGCCAGTCCGTCCTCCCTGAGGCTTGAGGAAGAACTGTGAAACTCCTGAGACTCCTCCCTCCCACGGCTCCTCTTCCACCCCTCTGGCCTGCCTTCCCTGCCTTCCTCTGCAGCAGCAGCGGTTCTCAACCTGTGGGTCACGATCCCTGTGGGTCGCTTAAGACCATAGGGAAACACAGATATTTACATTACGATACCTAACAGCAGCAAAATTACAGTTATAAAGTAGCAATAAAAATAATTTTATGGTTGGGGGTCTTGACAGCATGAGGTGCTGTATTAAGGAGCTGTAGCACTAGGGAGGTTGAGAACCACTGCTCCACTGAAATTCATACTTATGCTGATCTCCCACCCTGAGCACAGATCGCTTGAATCCTCCCAGAGGCTGGGAGTGCCTACCTGATTCACTACTGTAGCCTAGCACCCAGCTTTCTGCTTAATGCTAACACAAGAACTAAAATTCCAACTGATGATGACCAAGCGCATACTACGTGCTAGGCGCAATTCTAAGTCCCTGACACATATTAACTCATTTGGTCTTCCCAAGGAATCCCCTTTATTATCACCCCATTTTACAGATAAGGAAACTGAGGCATGGGGAGACCAAAACTGATTTCTTCAGGGACACCAGAGTAGTTAGTAAGCAGTAGTTGGGAAGTTAGAATTCTTAAAGTCTGACTCCAGAGCTTCAATCATGTGGCTATATGCTTTCTGCACACAACCCAAAACACACACTCAATAGTTTCAGTTACTGACAGTCACTGCAGGACTGAACTGCACTGGTCGAGGATTGTGCAGGAAGCCACACCCGGGGTCTAAGGTATCCTAGGTGTGGGGGCTTCCTCTCTGGGAGGTGATAGAGGACACGGAGAGGCACGGAGGGGCAGGCACGGCCCACACCCAGTGTGGCCCAGTTCCCCACACTCCTCTCCCTCTGGCTCAGATAGGAAAGGCAAGGAGCTGCTGATGGCTCTTTTCCTGAGGTGTGGCCAGAGATACTTCCTGGCCCAGAGAAACTCCCAACCTGCCCCAGTTGCCCCCTGAGGATGGAGAACTCACAGGAGCGTGGGTGCCACCAGGAAGAGGAGAGGAAGCGGTAGAGGGGACTGTGCCAAGAGCAGCGTTCAGCTGGCTGGGGTCTTGCTATCAGGGCTGCATGGAAGTGGATCTGCCTGGCCAGGTGCAAGGCCAGCACGGCCAGAGAGCCCTGGGAAAGAAAGCAGCATGTCAGGAACACAGCCCCACCTGTCAATCATCGTCTGCCGGGAGCCTTTCCTGACGAACGGGGGCAGCTCCACGCCATGTACTTTCACAGCACTTAAGCCTGTCCTTTGTGGCTCTGTAGTTCTTTTCAATCATTCACTTAGGGTCTGTCACTCCCTTTTAGTTTGTAAGCATGATAGAGGCAGGGCCCGTGGACCGTGCACATTCTGGTATCCCTGGAGCCCAGGGCAGTGTGAAGTGAGAGTAGGTGCCTAAAAAGTGCGTGCTGAATGCATGTGCCAGCAAGGGACAGAATAAAAGGGTCTAGGCAGGCAAAAAGACGCTGTGGGGAAAAAAAAAGAGTTCCCAACCCAGCCACAAGAGCACACACATACAAGTGGAAGCTTGAAAAGGTGTCACAGACCAGCTGAGCCAGCTCCTATCCCAGGAGCTGCTCGTTCACCCCATCTTCCTGGATTGGGTGATACCCCAGTATCTCTTTATTGCAACAGGAACTATGCATGACAGCAGGTTAAGACAGACAGCGTCTCGGCCCTCATAACATTTGTATCTTTTGCTGAAAGAGACAAAATCCAAACACACAGAAAAACAAATACAATAACCTAGAAATTGTGTGAAACACCAAGAAGAAAATCAATCGGGGGCTGCAAAGAGCCTGAGAGGAAAGAGTACTAGAAGATGAGTGGGCTGCAGGCGGGAGGAAGACAAGGCACCATCATTAGGAAGATAAGGCCAATGGTGTTGGTGAGAGTCTGTGTGCAGACCCTCCACGAGGGCAGTGGTGACAGAACCTAGAGATAACAGGGCCTCTGGAATCTGGGTGCAGTTCCCTGAAGGAATCGATGTGATACCAACCTAGGGCTCAGTTCTTTGACAAAATGGAAAAATATTCCCTACTCTATGGTATAATCTGTCTCCAGTTCATAGAAACCCAAACAGCCATGTCTATGTCATGGAGACATCCCATGTTCAGCTCTGATGACACCAAATTAAAGGTCTATAAAAAAAAAAAAAAGTGGCCAGGTGGGGGTGGTGCGCGCCTTTGATCCCAGTACTCAGGAGGCACAGGCAGATGGATCTCTGAGAGTTTGAGACCAGCCTGGTCTACAGAGCAAGTTCCAAGAAAGCCAGGGCTACACAGAGATACACTACCTCGAAAAACAAACAACAAAACAACAAAAGCAAGGCTCAGAGGCGTCAAGTCACTTGCCTACAGTACAAAGCATGAAGTACCAGGTTGGGATGTGGCAGATCTGAGAGTGATATATGCGTGTGTCCATTTCATTCAGAATGGTGGATAGCTGGAATCTCTACATGGAACACTGCCTGTGGGCCAAGACTCTGCCCTAGGAGACCTAATGTTTGTGATGCATCCCTGACCTTAGAGATCAGTTCAACAAATATTTACCGAGCAAATATTATGCATGAGGCTCTTCATTAGGCGATTCTACAAGATATACCAGGTGAAGCAACCGTGTGGTGCAGCTTGAATGTCAGGCCAGCAAAACCTGATTCTTCTACTTAAGCCATGTAACGTTAGATATACTACTGATATTCTAAAGCCTGAGTGTCCTTGTGTATGAGATGAAGGTTAAATTTCCCTTGCAGGATTTTTGTAAATATTGAACAACAGTTCCTGTTGGTGAGTCATGCTATCTATCAGCTACTTCTTATCCACGAAGGCAAGAATTATGTCTTCCTTGTTCTCTGCTCTGTTCCTAGAGCTTAGCTCAAAAGTGTTAAACAAATGCCTACCGAATGGAGAAGAATAAAAGCATGGCTGAGGCTAGAGGGACAGCAAGGTTTCCAGGAACCACGCTCACGGCTGCAGACCTCACCATGTGGATACGATCTTGCCCTTGTTTCTACGCTAGGATGTTCTCCCATGCAAGATTATTCTTGTCTATGCTGAAGGTACAGGACAGGGCTGGGGAAGCCTTACCCACGAGATGGCATCCCGCAGAGTGTTTGGGGAGACGTGAGCAGACATCCAGTGGAAGGCATCTTTCCATCCACAGCACTTTGGGTCTCTGTTCCTCCTTGGACCACAGGAGCCTGACCTAAACGGTACAATTAGAGGCTACTAAGTTCTGTACAAAATGGGAGCAGGAGGCCCTATGTGACAGAATGTCAGACTCTCACCTAACAACGCTGGGCCTAGGGAGCAGTGGGGTGGTGGAGGATGTCTGAGGTCCATCTGAACTGGTGGGCCTTGGTGTTACCCCTCGGAAGCCAGGTCTCAGCACGCGGGGAAAAGCTGTGGAAGCAAAGAGGATCAGTCACACCAACAGGGATGGGCTGAAATAAAGATGGCCTCAACAATCTTCCTTCTAGCCTGTGAGGGAGCATTACCCCAGGAACCCAGGAATCACTGACGTCTGTCTGCGCAGTGTTTTTGTTTGGCTTTGTTTTTCTGGTGCTGGGAATGGAACTCAGGACCTCCAGCATTCTAGGCTAGTAAGGATCCCAAGGTTCCACCACCCCATAAAGCAAGACCCCTCAGAATGGCGTATGTTTATTCTCAAAAAATTCTCACTGAGTTGCCTGAGTGGCAACTTCTGTTCTAGAACCATAAATCTATAGACACACATTCTCACTAAGCTGAGCATGTGTCTCTAAACTCCTCCTCTTTTCATTGGCTTTCTTTTATAGACTCCTCCCCTTCTAGAACTCTATCCCGTCCCCTTGGATGTAAGCTCCACCTTCTTCCCCACTTTGCCCTACCACGTCTCAAATTCCAAGGGCTCCAGACTCCTTGACTAGAGCCTTGCCCCCTATGCTCCGCCTTCCCTGCATCTATCTCCACCCACTGGCGCTACGGCTGTCTTCCCGCGGAGCTCTGCAGCTCTGAGGCCATGGCCTGTAGAAACTCCCCTTGTAGATGGCCCTTACCTCGCCCCAGGAGACCTGTCAGGCGCCACATGTCGCGACCAGCACCATAGAGCACTCGCAGCCGAGAGATCAAGGCCGAAGGACCGGACAGGGACGAGCACGGCCGCTGCGCAGTCCCCAGCGGCCGACTCCCCGGCCGGCCAATCAGCAAGGAGCCCTACCGGAAAGATGGTGCTCTCGGGAGGAAGTGGTGGATGGGGCGGGCTTGGCGAGATGAGAGCAGCAAGGACGAGATGCGGGGCCAGGGCACAGGTCGCCATCGCACGGCCACGGAGGTGCGTGGATCCTTATGGCGGCTGGTTGGTGGACCAAAGTACCTAGGGCAGGGTTTGCTCCCGGGTTCTAGCCCGGTTTTGTCTCTTTACGTTTAGCCTGGGCACTCCCTGAGTCAAGATCGAAAGGCAAAGAAAATCCTTGCCAGCGGCCAGGCAAGAATTCCTGCACAGCACAGTTAATAGTTGCTAAAGGCCCTTTTCACCCTTCTCAGCCTAAAGCAATCGTTTCTCTAGTAATCTCACCAGAAACTCGGTTTACAGGCAAAGGACATGTTCTACACCCCTGCACAACCCTAGTAGCATCTGATTATAATTCCATCCAAGGAATCAACCTATAAATTCACTTATCCATAGAGAGAAGTGGGGGTGGTTCTTAGCAAGTTTTTGAGATGTAACTTAACCACCAAAGGTATGGCTAAGACGATGACAATTGCAACTCCCTCCTTAGTATAGACTTGCACTTTGGTATTGCCTTACTTTGTTCCCTGTTTGCCTCCTAAGGCCATGCTTATACCCATGTTAAAGTTATTTTTAATAAAATCTCCAGCTCTTCATCTCATCAGAGTGGCTACTCCTGAAATTGTTTTCATCCTCTCAGCCAGGAACTGTGGTTTGGCCTGAGTCAAAGTCCCTAAAATATTAGGAGAACTCAGGCTGCTGAAGGTCACAGAGTAGTGCTGTTTCCCTGTACCCTCAGAGATACTCTGTTGTCTGGGCCCCTGTGCAAGAATAGGGCCAGCTGGAGCAGTTATGACTGCCCTTTCCTTATGCGGCAGGCTGAGGCTTTTGAGTGGCTGCTCGTTTCAAAATACTTAAGGATTCACAGACTGTGTTCAGTCAGAGCCCTCCGGTTCAGGTTCAGCCAGTGTTAGCTTTTGTAAACTGGTCCCACTTTCACGACTGTGAAGAGTCCTATGGGGTGGGGGGAAGGTGTTCAGACTTCCTGCTTCCCCCAAATATGTGACTTCTAGGTGGGTGGAAGTATCTGGGATGAGAGTACTGGGTGTACCTACGGTTGGACCCCGGCATGTGGTGTGAAAGTTGTGTTTCTCTGTCTAACAGTCTCGAGCCATATGTCAGCCACTGTTCTAGGATCTGAGAAGACAGATTGATGAAGAGCATGTGTGGCCTCCGAAAATACAGGAGGGCTCTAGTACATGAAGAGACTGCAGTAGGGTCTGGTGACACAAGGCTTTAGAACCAGAGGCAAGAGGATCAGTAGTTCAAGGACATCCTCAGCTCCCTATGTCTAGGCCAGCCTGAGCTACCTGAGACACTGTCTCACAAAAATAAATGAAAGAATAGGAGTAGACTGTGAGATAGCACCAGCTCCCATGGTGTACTGGTTATAGCTCTGGACTCTGAATCCAGCGATCCGAGTTTATATCTCTGGGGAACCTGTTCCTTGAGGAAGAGACCTGGTCCGTTGTCCTTGTCAGCTCAGACCATAGAACCCAATATAAACAGGCTGCCCGTGCATGCTGCAGCATTGCCGTGGGCATGCTTCACTTCACAGACTCGGAGATAGGCCCGAGGATGTGTCCCGGTAATTCTAGTCCTGGGGAGGCTGAATAGGAGGATCACAGATTCAAGATAATGAGTTCGGGACCATTCTAGGCTATGTGGTGAAACGTTGCCTCAAAAAGAGAAAGGACAGAGTCTGTAGGACTGAAATTATGGCTCAGTGTCAGAGGCTGGGCCTGTCCTGCACAAGCCAGGTTCAGTCTCTAGCACTGACAAACAGCCAACAGGCTTTAGACCCACAAATACCACTGTGAATGCCAGCTTTCTCATTTTCTAGCTTGGTTTTCTTTGTAGGGCGTTTATTTGTTTTGTTTTGGTTTTGTTTGGTTTTTGGTCTTTCAAGACAGGGTTTCTCTGTGTAGAAAATTTAACATTTGCTATTTTTATTTTATTATTGACATTATTATTACCATTACTGAATGTTTGAAGCAGCATCTCTCTGTATAGCCCTAGCTGTCCTGGAACTTGCTCTGTAGACCAGGCTGGCCTCAAACTCAAGAGATCTGCCTGCCTCTGGGATTAAAGGCCTGCACTGCTACCAACTCCTTTGCAAGGTTCTTAAGCACACTTAGCCTGTTATCTGTAAAACAGGGAAAATAATACCTCATGTAATTGTGATATTCAAAACAACATAAATGTTTAGCCTAGGTCCTGGTGCATAGAAAGGGCCCAAGAAATATGAATTAGTCTTGATTATGGTAGTGGAGGAGGTTAAGCAGGGAACTGTGAGTTGTGTTCTAATAGATCATGAGCAGCGAGTGGGGGTACATCATGGAAACGTTGTTTGTGTTTTGAGTTGGGCCCTTTAAACACAAGTAAGTTTATCAAGTGGAGAAGGGGAAAGGGCGTTGCAAGCAGAGGAAACCACATGAAGGCCCAGGAGCCTGAATGCAGGGAACTATTCAGAAATATTTTTCCTTGGGGAGTTGGGACAGTCACCTTTCACAGTCCCTGTGCTGCCTGACATAAAACCGTAAGTGTGCTGACTTGGCTCTGTCCCTCCTGGGACTTCTGTGTTGTAATATGAGTGGTGGGGCTGCGTCCCCAGCACCCCGGCCGCCTGCTAGCTTATGCCCGAAATAACAACACACAAACTGTATTCTTTTAAACACTGCTTGGCCCATTTCTGTTTTTTTGTTTTTGTTTTTTCGAGACAGGGTTTCTCTGTGGCTTTGGAGCCTCTCCTGGAACTAGCTCTGTAGACCAGGCTGGTCTCGAACTCACAGAGATCCGCCTACCTCTGCCTCCCGAGTGCTGGGATTAAAGGCGTGCGCCACCACCGCCCGGCTGCTTGGCCCATTTCTATCTAGCCTCTTCTAGGTTAATTCTCACATATTAATTTAGCCCATTTCTAATCATCTGTGTTGCACCCCACAGTGCGCTTACGGGGAAGATTCTAGCCGGGAGAGCAGAGCATGGCCTCTCTGAGCTCACTTCCTTTTCCTCCCAGCATTCTGTTCTGTTTACTCCACCCACCTATGTTCTAAGCTATGAGCCCACGCAGTTTGTTTATTACTTAACCAATGAAATCAACAGATTGATATATGACACTCCCACATCACTTCTGGGCACCCCTTCCTCAGCCTGTCTGTAGTTGGCTTTCTTCCTCAAGGCTCAGCCTGATTTCAGGGCCGCAGTGAAGACTCCCCAACTGGTGGAGCCCTCCCCACTTACTTCTCTGCTTTCCCCAATCCTGTAGTGCTTAATTTTTACTACACAGTTTAGCAGTAATTATATGTTGTCCTGTTATTTAATTATCTCGTCTGTGTAAGTGTGCTCTCCCTGGTTCTTTCCCTCAGGGCAGGGGTGGCATCTTCCCATTTTTGTGTCCCACATGGGGCTTAACACACACTGTCAGCCCACAAAGTATGTGTCCCCGATGCCTCTTAACTGCACACAGCCGGAAACACCAGACCCCTTATCATGGAATGACTGATTCGAGCAAAAGTGTGTTCATTCCACGTGTCTTCATTGATGTCCTGGCCTGTTCGAAGGGGTTTGAAAGAGAAAATAAAGTATCTGCCCCCATACACAAAATGACATTATAGCCAGGGGTGGTGGCATACACTAGTAATCCCAACACTTGGTTGATTGAAACCGGTGGATCATGAGTTCACAGACAATCAGATGTCTAGTAAGACATTGTGTAGAAGGAGGAGGAGGAAAGAAGGAACATTCCCCCCCGAATCTTGGGGATATCAGAGGCTGCTAGAGTGAAAAGTGTGGGGGTGGCTGGAATCCTCACAGCCTTTCGGTTGTCAGTACAATCCAACAGGAACACTGGGAATCACATGGACTTTTGTCTTTACTAGAAATGCCAAGGCCTGAAGCCATCAGCCATTTTCTTCCACTGCTCTCACAGTCTGTTTTTGGATTATGGCCCAAAGTCAAGTTGATTCAATTGTTTCACAAAGGCCAGCTGTTTTCATTAGAAACCTATTGTCTAGGTACCTAGTAAATCATGTCTTGTGATGTGTATACAAGCCCTTCTGTTCTTACAACAGGGAGCGTTGTAGACATTTGTTGTTGCCTTTATTTTTTTAGACATCTTAAATTCATACTAATCAAGTTTATGAGTTTATTCAGTGCTAGAGCATACCTAGAGGATTTAACAACTTAAAAAGAAAATTGATGTGGCCCAGTATCGTGGCTCATGCCTGTAATCCCAGCATTCAGGAGGATTATCATAAGTCTGAGGGCAGCCTAGTCTATATAATGAGTTATAGGCAACCTCGTCTACATAGTGAGTTATAGGTGGCCTAGGAGAGCCTGTCTCAAAGCAGCAAAACGGGTCAAAGCTGCTTGCTTTTGCAGTGGGCAGCAGTCAATGCAGAGATAGATAACTGATCCAGGTGCTGAGGAGCTGACCCAGTGCTTGGCCCGAAATGATCGTCTTCCAACCCCAGGCTTAGGGAAGATTCCCAAAGAGGAGGCAGAAAGAATGAAAGAGCGAGAGGATGGGAAGGATATCCCACTCATGAACCCATGACAACTGTGGTTACTGGCGCAAAATCAAACCAGCTAAAATTCTGATATAGTTGGGAGGGGCTCTCCAGGCCCCACCCCTTGTTTGAGCTGATATCTTCTGGGAGAGGAAAATTTGGTTTTTGAGGGTGTGGCTGCTGGTGAGTTTCCCATGTTCCAGGAGATGGCCCCACATCCATATCCATGGGCAGCACTGATGTAATCTTGTGGACTGTCAAAGGAAAAGGAAGACTTGAGGTTGAGAAGGAGATGTGTTGGAGAGATACAGAGGAAGTTGGAGAGGGACGTGGGGAGTCTAGAAGGGTACACAATCATTTCATTGTGCATATGTATGAAATTCCCAAGAA